AGGGGGGGAGGGAGGGAGGGAGGGAGGGAGCGAGGGGGGGAGGAAGAGAGGGAGGGGGTCGTGCAGGCGAAGAAAAACAGGCAGAGCGCAGCGTTTATCAACGGGTTGACCAAGGTGGAGGCTAGTCGCAGAAGGGAAGAAGAAGAGCGGCCAGGCGAACAAAGACGTATCAGCTGCAGCGACGGCGGTAGCAGCAGCACCATCACCAGCAGTTACCAGAGCCGGATGCAACGCGTCGAGTAAAAGAATCTACAGGCCGTTTCGCGCTGACGGAAGGGCACAAGCGCACGGGCGCTGCACACGTACGTACCTGCAACCGCTCTGGATCGCCCGCCTCATCGTAGTTCTTGAAGCTCTGGAAAAAAGCCGTGCAGGCTTGGTCCCACTCCCTCTCCTGCTCTCTCCGAAGTTTAGTTGGTTTTGGAATGACGGGAACGTTGCCAAGCCAACAGATAGGGTCAACGAGATCAGCCCGCGGGTGACATCGTTTCTTGTCTTCTTCCATCGCATGAAAACCAGCGCTCACACACATCGGTTACGTGAGACAACCCAAGCAAATATTGGAGCAACGGCGATAAGAAGTAGCCATCCATGTTATGAATATCACGTCAAGCTGTCCATGCTTGAAGTTGCAGGCCGTGCGATCAGCGAATGTGCAGGCTGTGGCCTTGGGGTCCATCACGCCACCCTCTGCGGCAGAGGTTTTGAGGCAGGTGCAGGGGTTGCACGATGGGAGACGCAAGACTAGAGGACAAAAATGGACCAATGGCAAACAAGGGAACGAGGGGTGTGTGCCAACTGCTGCCGTGCGTTCTGCTACCCAAATGGGCGCAATCCATGCAGCCGATTTCGTATCGTATTAATAGGTGTCTTTTTCATAGTTTGATGCTGGCAAACATCTACGTAATATGGACCGCAGCCCTGACACGTCACACGAGAGCTGTGAATACATTACAATGTGACGCCGTGGGCCGTGAAAAGCCGCCTCGTGGCGAGGAGGTGTGGTATCCAATTTCGCGCGTTCAATGTGAGAAAGTAACCTGCTGCAAGCTTCCTCGCTCATTGAAACGCCTGGACATGCACTCGAAAAGAATCATTTCTGTGCAACCTCTGACTTGAGCTGTCCAGCTACGAACGCTAGGCCAAAAATAATGAGGTGGTTAGAAGACTGCGGGTGAAGGGAAGTGAACGGGATGAGAGGTGGAACCAAACGCCACAGCCTTTGCACACCAGGTGGAGAGGGGAATGTGCCTCAGCAGCTCATGGAAAATACCACTCGTTGCTTGGGGCAACGCATCCCCTGGGTCGATTTTCAAACCTCCAGCGACGGTGCCAAAAATGGCGGCGTTCACACCGTTTTGTCGAGAGCTTTTCGAAAACGCATCATTTCGGCATCCTCGTCATGTGGAATAATCGAGCTTACAACATCGGTGCAGCAAAGGGGGTGCCGTATCATACGTCACCTACGGTGCTGTCGTTGTTTCGTGACAAGCTGCCATGTCTCTTGCAGTTCCCCGCCCTTCCTGCAACACGGCTTCAAAGCGCGGCCGCGTTTTTTTTGCGCACCCCGCACCTGCATGTGCATCTTGCCCCCGCACTCGAGAATGGTGGCCACAACTCTGGGATGCGGTACAGCGGAGGTGATCTTTCGCGCTCGCTCGTAGACTTCCCTGGCAGCAAAAAAAGCAGAAGAAATTGTGTGCGTGCCGAATCGAACTACGCGGAGGCTATCGTACAACTAGAGGGACGCCTGGACACGACAGCAATGGCAACATTGTACGTACGACACAGAAACAGCTAACATGACAGCCGCAGCAGCAGCAGCATCATCAGCAGCAGCCGCAGCAGCAACAGCAACAACAACAACAACAACAACACCAACAACACCAACACCATCACCAACACCAACAACGCCAACACCAACACCAACGACACCAACAACACCAACAACAACAACAACAACACCAACACCAACACCAACAACACCAACAACAACAACAACAACAACACCAACAACACCAACAACACCAACAACAACAACACCAACAACAACAACAACAACAACAACAACAACAACAACAACAACAACAACGACATCATCATCAACAACAACAACAACAACAACACCAACAACAAAAACAACAACGACGGCGACGGCAACATGATTATGATTTGGGGGCTAATCTCAAAGATCGGAGACAGACCGTAGGCAGGATGTTAGGGGGATACCGAACCAGAAAACGGCCGCGGGAATTGAAAGCGGGGTGCCGAAATGCAGGACATGAACAGGAGTGGGGAAGGAAAGGATGGAGGACATCAACGGCTCAAAACATAGGCTGACGAAGAGCACCTGATCGGGATATACACCCGAATAATGCATATGTTGGCGGCACGGCACCCCCCGCAAAGCTCCCCGCACACGCGCCACAAGAATGACAACAACGCACCTCAGTTTCTTCTGGTCCCTTTGTCTGGAGTGCATGAGGATCTGCAAGGAGAAGATCTCGAGCAGCTGCGTCCCCCGTTTGACGGCGTTGGTGTCGTCGTCGTCCCCGTTCCCCTCTTTCTCGCAAGCCCTGCAACATCGCCACATCACCATCCAACGAAACACAAGACAACCATAAAACGTATCGACGGTGAGGAGACGAGGACAAGTCCAATCCTTGCAAGCCCTGCATAATCGATCGCGGTCGACGTCAAACGAAAACAAGAAAAAAAAAAACGAAAGAAGCGATGATGAGGACACGTGAAAAGGAAATGTAAGCGTCCGCTACCGCTGTAACGGACGGACCAACGAGTCCATCCCGGGAAAGTACTACATTGTCTAGCAGCGGTCCGTCCATCCACCCGCTCGCCACCGCGCCATCCTTACCCTTCACATGACACTCGAAATTTGCCAAGGATCCACACTGCGTGGAATCGGAACGAGGCGTAGACCACGACTTTACAATTAATGCTACGAGTAGCTGACACGTGTTTTGCGGCGGCGTGGGTCGCATACTCGCAATGTGCAAGCACAACATGTGAAACAGAAGGCCGCAAAAAAAACAGCTCTTGCATGCCTGTTGTCTCTGGCCCCACCGCGCGACAACCAGGACTCCGAGACAAATATTACTATGACCACGAGAAATGACGACGATGAACGTCGCGCATGATGCGGACAAAAATCTTTACCAAAAAATGAAGACCTTCCATTGTTGAAATGCATACCAGCGGGTCACAAAGGAGAGCGACTCCGTGCGGTGGGTTGAATCGGCATGCGAACAACAGGCAGACATGACCAACGCACGAAGCTCGTGGCCCGTAGATAAAATCACATGTAGGAACGACGCACCTGAAGGCACGGCGCACCTGTGTGCCCTGTTCCGCCAAGTTTCAGTCGTCGTGTTACGACGCGTGCCCCCCCCCCCCAAAAAAAAAACCCTCTACCTGCCATTGATCTCACTTCAGTAGCTCCTTGATTATCCTCTGCAGCCTGCCCATCTCCCCCACCTCGTACATCAAGTGTCCCAGCTTGAGGTTGCATTTAAACCACAGTCTGTTGTTCTTGTGCTCCCTGGGTCACGCGAGACCCAGACATACACAGGGACGAGGCGGAGACGGCCGCGACGGCGGTAGCAGTAAGGCGACCGATGGTGCGAGAGCGGGCAAATAGTTGGAGCTAGGCCATCAACAATACAGACATCCCTCGGATGTGGACACCTTTTCTAAGCGCACTCCCCTCGCTGAGGACAACTTTTTTTCACAGGCATGGCGGCTCGCAGAATGTCCAACACCAGGAGGGGTGTCAGCCTTAGGGACACTTCCCCGGCTTAAGGACACCTGTTTAACGAAGAACCATGTGTGTCCTTAACCGAGGTATGACTGCACCTGCGGGGTTAACCGATCGAGGGTGCAAGTTGTTCCTACGAGGCGCATTGGTGCGAAAACCGTGACCGACATGACCATGAATCCCAACATGCGTGCCAAGATCGAATCACCCATCACGAAGCAATGTACACACGAAGCAAGACTCGCCTGAGCGTATCCAGCGTCTGCTCGTAGAAGCCCTTGAGAAGGGCCCAGTCGTTTGAGGAGGACACGTAGTCCAACACGCTGTTCACGCCCTTCTCCCCCACGTTCTGCGTGACGGCTCCCTTCGTATACCCTTATATTTTCCCGCCCGTTTTTGTTGCGTCAAGTGAAGCAAACAGGTCAGCGTCCAAACAAGAATTGCGTCATGAAAACCAGAATTCGGCCGGTCCGGGGGGGGGGGCGCGTTTGCTCGTTCTAAGTGTGTCGTAGACCTGTCGTAGACGTCAAGGCAACCAATCTCCACCGGAGTAGCGCCGCTGAAAGACCTAAGTCCAAGAGGCGAAAGGTTGGTTGTACTTGGGGGAATCAGAGACGATTGGCACGAAACCATGACCACAACGGCCCAAAGGGACGGGAGTAGGAGTAGCAGAATCACTCGCGGCGGCCTCTTTGGCGACTTACCCAACAGCTGCGTGTAGCAGTCCGTGAACTCTTGGAATGCCGACATCTTGAAGAGCAGCTTCATCATCTGCTTCAGCGCCTTGAACCCCCAGATCCCCTGCTCCTCCTCCTGCGCCATGACCTGTCCCGCAGGCGAGAAGGAACACACGAAAGCACGGAAACAACGAAACAACACGGAAAATCAAGCTGCGCTGCGCACACTGAAATCTGCACAATCGCTAAACACAATCCATGAATGTTGGGCGTGAAAAATGCCGAGGCCGAACAAAAAAAAAAAACGGTTCCCCGTCCAAGTCTTGGCGTGGGTATTATCGCAAGCTGCTTGCGTCGAATTCGATATGCAATATTCCCGACCTAGAGATAAACAACTAGGAATGTCGTTTGGCAGACGGTCGCGTACTTTGGAAATTTGCGGCGGCTAGTGAGACAACCGTTACCTTTTCTCATGACTCCATCTTTGATTCCCCAGGATCCTCAATCCTCCTCCTCCTCCCCCTGTTACTATGCCACCCAAAATCTGTCCGTCGATGCGCTAAGCTCGCGCTTGGTGTGACCATGTCCCTGCTACTTGGGAAACAACCCGAATTTGGTCTGTCCGAGGGTCGGTCGGGGTGTGACCAGTCTACGTCGTGATCCAAGCAAGAGAATGCGAGATCTCCAAAGCCACCCTCCCAGCACCGACAATTGTATAGGGAGAAGTGTATTACAACAGAATAGGGAAGAGTGTACCGCAATTGTATAGGAAATAGTGTCCTACTACTATTGTGTAGGGAATAGTGCAGACACACTGCTCCGACACGGGCCCGCGGGCAGTCTGGCCAGACGGGCAAAAGGGGATCTGGTAGACAACAACGGGACACCCCACTCTCGGTCCCGTCCCCGGAGGCGCGCCACACGGAGTCTTTACCCCCTCCCTCACGCGCACAGCAAACGCAAGGATTATGGCCAGCTTCTGTTGTGAATCTTAGCCTGGGTCGGCGAATACCGGCACATCGTTCCGTCCCGCATGAGAGGTCATCAATGGTCTAACGACTACTACGACGTGCGCCCATCTACATTAGTACCCCCCCCGGTGTTTGCCATCGGGATTGGGTTTTCGTCGCTTGGCAAAGACGTTGTAAAACAAGCCAATTCACTTCGTGAACTCGGCAACCAGGTTATCGTTCTGCTTTTTTTTACCTCCGGTTTTTCCTTTTTGGCGGTAACCATAATGGTGGTCGAGTAGATAATGTTGTGCGGAGTGAAGGA